GCAGCGCGGAGGAGGGAGCTTTGTCACTTCAGGATGGCCGAGCAGTGAGGAGAGAGAGAGCCGCTGGCTGTCAGATCCTTGCCTAGTGGCTCTCTCTCTCTACTCACCGTTCAGCCATCCTGGATGACAGCTCCCTCCTCCGTGCCCTCCAACCGGCTGCAGCGCTCCTTTTCTACTCAGAACCCCTCAGATCTGAGGAGAAGCTGCAGGCTGTGCCACCCCTCTACTCCTTGCCGCCCCAAGGCCAACCTGTGTTTGCCGCCTGGCGCCCTGCGCTCGCACACTCCAAAGGCTGGCCCTTGCTGCACCCTCGGCGAGTGACTCACCCTTCCTATGGCCCCGCCTATGTGTGTTGTAAAGTAGCCACTGCTCCAAGCGCACTCCCATGGTAGACTACAATCTCAGGTTTAGTTTACTAATTTGTACTGATTATCATTATCCATACCATTTATTACTGAAAGTTAAAGAAAAGCCAAATCTTTGGGTTGTCATCAGAACAGTAATAAATGGGAAATCTTCCAACGGGAACACTAGTTTTGATGACTGTATTGACCACCAGGGGCTTCTCTCTCTTTGGAGGGACTTCCTCTCACTTCCTGTGGTGGCTATCGGACAGGAAGTGAGGGGAAATCTCCCCAATGGGGTAAAAAGATGGGGGAAAAAGGCTGATAGGTTATAACACTTTTTTTTTTTTTTAGGTTATAAAAAATTAAATTAAATTGACTTCAGCTCTACTTTAAAGGAAAACCCCACAAAGGGGACTGCAGAAAAAAAACTGACAGAGATCTTAACTTTTGTGGCCCAAAAAGTTTTAGCTAGGGTTCTACTTTAAAAAAAAAAATATTGCAACTGCTCTAACCTGATATTATGCAGTCTTGCATTGGAATTTTTAATCCCGTCTGCAGCTCTCTTTATGTAAACATCACAAAACATGAGGTTTCAGTATTCTCATCCTGGAAAGATGTATTTCCTACACAATGATCTGGACAGTTGTGTTTATTTACAGTGCTGTTGCTCCGATAGACTGGAATTTGTGGCAAAGACGTATTTACTTTTTCTAAACGCTTTTCAGTGTAAGAATGTATAAGGGTCTGTGTATACAAAATGGTGTCCTGGTTTGTATATTTACACTTTATTTCAGCCCAGATTCTTTTGTTGTAAGATACATTCACTTTTATGTTTAAAGGGAATGTAAAGTATTTTTAATTATTTTTTTGAGATATGCGTGTAATGCAGATCAGCTTGATGTAAATAATGTTATCAATGTGGGTTGATGTTCTATAAAACCTTCACTCTATGTGTGGTTAGTATTTACAATATATATGTTCATAGAGCCATGTCGGACTTTGCTCCGTGCTGTGAAATGCTGCGCAGGGATTTTGCTTTACTGTTCCTTGTCACAATCCAAGTCTATGAGTCAGGTTACTCATTACATACAATGCTAGTGGCTCTCTGTGTGGCAGGTATCTCAACAGTTGTTAAGAAGAGAGTTTGAATTAATACAGAGTTTCCTCTAATGGTTAATCTACAAATCTCTGTATTTAGTACAACAATAACAATTATGGAATAGCAATAAAGTGTGGAAGTCATATCAAAAATTGCTTTAAGGTGAACACAATAATAACACAAAATCTTTATTCATGAGAAATACACTGTACATTCCCTTTCATCCAAAGTCTGACAAAACATTGCTATTAGGATATAGGATATATATTCGGATATTCGGATATATACGATATAGGATTTTCTATGCACTCTACAAGAGTTCACCAAAAAGAGTAAATCCGCCTACCTGCAAAGTAAAAGGAAGAGCCTAAATTGGCCACTACTTTTGCAATCTTATTTTCTTAACTGTGAGTGTTTTCTTGTCCCTTTTCAGTATGGGACAGGAACATAAAGAGCTCTTCCAGGCAGAATGGTGGAGGTAGTATTTGGAGCTTCATTTTTTCCAAGAGTACACACTTGGGGTCATTCTTGAGGTTCTACTATGCTTGGTTGAACTGGATCTAGGTTTCCGGGTTTTGGATTTCGACAGCCTTAATGTATTTATTTGGTACATCGCCCAGGTATTCCATTGTGGAGTAGAGTGGAAAACAAAAATGTTTTGATAGATATTATAATCTAATATTAGTTAGCAATTATGCTGGTCTTGGTCCTTTTAAAGTGAACCTTTCTCCCTTGCCTGTCCCGCTGCTTGCAGCACTGATCTTTGCTCCCTACCACTGTCTATCGAAGCTTCTGCAACTAACACTTCTAGTGTTTTGGATGCCCTACCCCCTCTGTGCTCTGGTTTTTTTCTCCACCTACCCCTACATTACTATAGAGTACAGTAGCGGTGTAGGGCCAAGCGGAAGTAACCTCATCGCTCAATGGGGGACCAAGCATCTGACACAGCCAGAAGTGGCAGGGGTAGGGAGCAAAGATCAACACTGCCGGCACAAGCAAAACATTCTTTAACTTTAAAGCTGAACTCAGGGTACAGAAGCTTTAATTTAAGTGTGTGTGCACCAAAGGCCTTTGTAAACCAAATTATTACCTTGTAAAAGTAGTGGTGACATCATTGTGCTGCACATAGCCTGTGCAAAAAGTAGAGCTTTGGAAAGGACCCAGCATGTCTTCCCCCCTACAGGTTGCCTGTAGAAAACTACTAAAGGGGGTGGATACAAGACCAGTCACCCTGCACAAGGGGAGAGAGAGCAGCAGTGACTGGTCTTTATTATAGGAAGCTCCTACACAGAGGTAAAGTGTCACACTGGATTACTGCACAGATCTGGAAGAAATACACAAAGCACGCCAAGATTCAATTAAGGATACACATGACTCTTGTATTTAGATAACATTTGCTTATCCCGGAGTCCAGCTTTAACTATTACTCTTTCATTCTAATAGACCTCTCGATGCATGTTGGCCTTGTAGTGGCTCTATGCATCACACAATATTTAGTTTGTCTGCATTGAGGAGATTTATACCAGGAAGTGAATAAACTAAAGAATTGTCTAACTTGTTGTCTATCTTCTTTCTTTTTTCACATATGCAGCAATAACTGGAATGAAGGAGAGTAAATTACCTTTTTTCTTATCTTCATTCATTCTAAATTTCATGTTTAGGATGGGTTTCACGCCAAGGACTAGGACCTTGTGGTCTTGAGCATTCCATTAACCCATAGCTTCTTCCATCTGCACAATGTAACCTCCTTTAGACTCTTTCTAGAGAAGATGCTCTTGGTGGATAATCCCATTGCAATATATCCTTTATATGTACTGTATATATATTAAACATCTGTGTCCTCCTAAAGCACTTGATACTACATATACAGTAGTTAGGTATTACAGGTGCCATTTTGTGTTTTCAAAGTCTTATATGGATTAGAGGTATTTTGGTGTTAAATGTGTAGGCCTTTTTGGTATATTCTTTGAGTATAGATGTTCCTATTTGT